ATATCCTAGAAGGAATCCTTTCATGGAACCTAAAGAAATCAATGATACTAGACCTTCTAATATAATGAATAGGATCCTCTCCTAAACATAGACTAGATATATTTCTAAATCCTAAAAATGTGCTAAAACTAAAACTATAGCACACTAGAGACTCAATCCTAAAAACTAGAACATCTTGCCTAAAGTACCCTATGTGGTAACCTAGGCATTTCCTAGAAGATAAGGAAAATACTACTAAGAAATTTCCTAAACAATTTTGGATTATATTATTTGTTGGATATTTATGAAAAGAATTTGTCACAAGGAACCTTGAAGGTTCATATGTTATATCCAACAAATAATATATTCCACAATGAGTCTATATCAGAGGAGGCACTCACGTGATCCAAACATGACAGAGGGCAGTCCTTCTCAAAGCGTTGGGCGAGGTACTTGCTCCTGGGGGCCCCTTTTGAAGGGCGAGATGACGGCGCAGTGGCTGCCGGGGTAGGTGTTGGGACCTCGGAGCTCGGCCCCTCTCGGTGAACCTTGGTGGGAGTTGGGGAAGAGGCTGCCCGCCCAGCAGCAGGGGCGTTCGGCCCTGGCACCTCTAAGCTCGGCGCCACCCGGGCCTCGGCGGCATTTGGACCAGGCCTCGCCTACAAAAGACAAAATTTTTCTCCTGAGTCAGAAAACAATAAAAAGGCAGTATATAAGGGAAATCACAAGAAAGGCACAAACCTTGGAGGCCTGGACAACCTCCTCGGCGGCCACTTGGGGAGCTCCCTCAGGCAGAGGACTCCTAGTGAGGTCGACTGCGTTGGAGTCAGCAGCCTTCGACGTCACCTCTTCAGCATCACGAGGGGTGGAGGTCCCCCCGACCTCCTTCTCTCCCCTCTTTCTTTTCCTGCGGGTCTCCAGGGGGGAAATCTCCTCTACTTGAGGCTCGGGGACCTCGATCTCGGCAACATTGTAGCGAGACTTCAACTCGCGCCATTTGCTCCTCCCCATTATGCCTACAAGACTAAAAGCTCAGTACATCAGTAAAAGAAACTCTTACAAACCCTAATAGCTAAGAACGACGAGGTACTCACTCTCTAGACCCCTTTCCTTGTATGCCGAGTTAGCAAGCGACAAGACGAGCTTGCATTCCAAGCAACGAGGAAGTGCTTCTAGGTCTTTAATGGCAGCAACGTTCGAGGCCGTCAACTGTAGGTTGGCCGACCCGTTAAACCTGGCCGGAGCCTGCCGCCAGTAAAGAGGGAATCTTGACAACCCGCTGAAGTGGAACACCTCATCTTTCAGTGGGTCGACCTCCCTGAGCGCCACCCGGAAGAACTCTTGTTTAAAATTTTTGTAAGACTAGGAGTAGAGAAAATAATCCCCCAGCCTTACTACCGTTCAAAGAAACCCAACCATAGGGAGGTACACCCAGTTTCATTTGGTAGAAATGAAGAAAAACAGGGAGAGATACCCCTATCCCTAGGGTCGAGCACAGGACCTGGAAAGCCCTCAAAAAACCCCAACTATTGGGGTGCAACTGGCAAGGAGCCGAGTTGACAAAATTTAAAAAAATCACACTAAAATTGGGTAAAGGGAAGGAATACGCCTAAATCCCTGAAGAAACACTGGTACATGTAAAAGAAGGGAGGGTCAGAGGTACCCCCCAGATATACATGCTCACCGGGCTGACAGGGTTCAAGCCGGATAAGCTTATAAATGGATGGTTCACAGATCCTATGCGATTTCCATATCGCATTAATCTCCATGAATGACTTGAAGACTCTCTAGAATTCCCCGACGTCACCCCTGACCCATTCGTAGCCAGGGATGACGGGGAAGGGTTCCTTAGGCTGGTTCCCCCCCTTTTTCTTTTCGGCGGCGGCCGCCTTGCCGCGCGCCTTGCCTTTACCCTTGACCGGCGCGAAAGGAGCGACATCATTGTTACCAGTCATCAAGAAGATGAAAAGATTTGGGAAGAAGGAGAAGATTGAGAAATCGAAGTACCTGGTACTCCTTTGACAAACGAAAGAACAGAAACGAGAGGATGAGAACTCGATTGCTGGAGAAGGTGACGGAGGAGAACGGAGACAAAGAAAGCAAAAACGGAGATGGTGGAAGCAGAAGTGCAGAAATCGGCGTGCACAAGAAGCCAAATAATAGAGAGAACAAAAAAGAGTAAAGTGAAAAGGGGAAAGGGCGCGAGAGAGAAAAAAGGGTTTTCCAAAATTCAAATGGTCACGACACGTGTCAGCTGGGGAACATAACTGACGACACATTTAATGAGCCCCATTATGATGGGCACGACCATCATTGCCTAAGCGTCACTTCCCATTAACACGCCGCCCATGCGTTATGGGATCGAGGTGATGGTTATGACACGTGGCAGCGTGACAGACAGGCATACGCGAAGGGTCACGACTCCTTGCCAAGCTCGGTCTTAACTCCTCGACCCTTGGTCTTCGGAGCTCGGGGGGCTAGTGTACTATCCGTACCGCCATGCCGAGCTCGAGCTCGGCATCATAGCGCAGAGTGACCTCGAACACGCGTCAGGCAGCGCCAGCCCGACATCCAAATAGATCATGATTGATCTCAGGCCCAAGGCCCAATGAAACCCTAATCCACACAAAGGCACGTGCATTACTTATACGAGACTCATACATCCACAAACACTAACTTTAGCATCAGAGTCTCTTTTGCAGGTTTTAAACCCCCGCCTTGGAACAACAATCGTACCTAGCGAAGGAGGCTCACCGATCTTACTTAGTATATCGTCCCTACGACCGATCTCCGGTAAGAACAGTAATATTGTATTTGTATCTCTGTAGACTAAGATATTCGAAATGTCAGTAACAGACTAGACCTTAGTGAGTGTTGTAAACTTATGTATCCTCTCCATGAGAGTAATCCACACACTCAAAACCTCTGTAAAACAAAGGTAGCAACCCTGAGCGAGTGTAGAAAATTCCCAACCCTCTCTGTGAGAGTTATGTATGCACTCAAACCAAAACTCCCTAGCCAACATCGTAAAGCCTGAAGAGGCTAGGAAAAGAATACTTGTAAAGCCCGGAGGGTCTTGTCAAAGAATACTCACTACTAGCCAGAAGTAGCTGATAAGAAAATACTAGGTTGGTGAGTGAAGCCGACGGGCCAAGAGTGGTTGAGAATACTTGGAGAACCAGAAGTGGTGTAAGAATACTAGCGTTGGTGAGTGAAGCTGGAGGGCCAGGAGTGGTCGAGAATACTTGGGCTAGGAGTGGTCGAGAATAGTTGGACCAGGAGTGGTTATAACTTGGGTGGTTCAGAATACTCATTGCTAGCCTAAAAAGGCTGAGACGAATATACTAGCGTTGATGAGTGAAGTCAATGGGTCAGAAGTGATCGATAATACTTTTGTATTGAATTGCATATCTAGTGAAACCCTTCAGTTGAAGGAGACTGGACGTAGCTCAGATTGAGCGAACCAGTATAAAAATGATTGCACTGTTTTATTTATTCTTCAGACGCGAACACTTCTTAATTGACAAATCTTGTTGAAAAATTCATCTATTGTATAATTCTCATTAAAACCATTTTTCAGACGAAGACGCAAATTTTGTTTAACAAACATATTATACTGGAAGTTTCATCTGCTGCTTATTTTTTAAATTTTGGTTTCAATTTGGTCCCTAATAATTTAAATTACTGCAATTTCGGATTGAGTGTATCACTTTACTTCTATATGGGTAGACCCAATAGAAAAAAATTATACCTTTTTATATAACTTAAAACAAATTATGGAATGCTTGTACAATCTCGCAAAATGTGAATGATGTTTATTCAACATATTATCTATAGAGTAGTAAAAGGAACATCTATTCTTTTGATTGAATGCAAAGTAACACAAGTTGCAAGTAGAGGTCAATGTCAATAGAGAACGATAAATATATATATAGTTAAGAATGATGTTTATAAGAGGATATAACATTCCCATAGGATTCACATTTTCCGGTAAACACCTGGAAGAATAGTGACTAGTGAGAGCCATGCTTGGTCGTTTTGTTTTGTTTTAGTTTAATTTCATTATAGTAGGGTTCCCTCCCTCGAGATGATCACTTAGTTCGAGCTTATCAAAGTAAACTGTTTCAACTTTCTTCGTCGTCGCTTTAATAACTCTCTAATTCAAGTTTCACTGTTGCTGATTTGATAGAAGCAAATAATAATTTATATTTATCAATCAAACGGGTTCTTTTGTTGCATACAGAACAATAAAATGGTACCCACATCACTACCCACTATAGCCGCACATGAAGAAAAGGCAACACGACGAGCATAGATTCATGTTCTAAGAGATGCGTGTCTCCCATGAAAACGTTTGTATGTAACCACTCGAGGACAAAAAAAATGAATAGGATTGTCCATTTTGTGTTTTACTTAAGTTCCAAGGAAGAATATTAAACTCCTCGATACTGGCATTTGGAAAATTAGGTCTACATGCTTTTTCAGTATATTAAGGTCTATGCATCCCTTTAATTTGTTTATATTAATCTATGAATTGAAGCATTGAACACAATATAAATATTTCTTTTTCCTATGCTTACCTCGCTATGAGTTTTTCATACCTTCCTGTAATTGGAAAACATTGCTTTTACCCTCTGTACTTAGTGCTTATTAGTGCGTCTAATTGTAAAATTGGCAAAGTTATCTATGTTTAATATAACAAAAACATTTTGGTATTGTACATTATATAATCTATACTATTCATAGATGCGATTTTTTTTTTGGTGATTCGTGTTTCATATCTATCTTTTGTATTAATATTTCTATACTCATTTATATTTTAGATTTTAGATTTTTTATTTTATTTACAACGACTCATAAATAATTATTTTATTTTTTTGAACATAAACATGAAATGTCTTTTTGTTTTTCCTGCTAGCATAAAATAATGTGTTTGAATAGGCGTAAAAATGTATATATTTTATTTGGTTAATCTTAACCAACTCATCAAGGATGATTAAAAGCTATGGAAAAGTAAAAAGAGAAAAAAGTACTCCTTCAATTTAAACATTTATTATATATATAACAAAAAAATATAATAAATTATATATACAAATAAATACTATATTTAAATATATAAATTATATTTAAAATTTCTATAAATAGATATTTTTGTATTCATTGATATTTATCAATGTTGTTAGTGTGATGTATTATATATTGGTTTTGTCGATGAATAATTTTTGTTGAGAAACTTGATTGATCATCTTCAGTGAAAAATTTCTTTTTAATAATATTTTTTCATCTATAAAATTTAAAATTCGAGACCTTATTTAAAAGAACTCAATATAGCTCTACTCAAATCAACGATTTATTCGTATTTATGTTTATAAAGAGACAATTTAAAAATCAGTAAGGATCAATCCTAAGATTTTTTTTTAAAATATTATATAGATGAATTTAATTTTAGAATTATGTATATTTTACTTTTTAAATATATCATTTTGTTTCCATAAATTTTTTTTATTAATTTTTGACATCCTTATATTTAACAAAATGATAAACTTTTCGTCCCTCGTTAAGGGTTAGAAATATGTATGACGAGGAACTAAATTTATATCATTTGATTAAATATAAGGACCAAAAATATTAAAAAAAAATAGTATAATTTATATATAAAAAGTTATATACTTCATAATTAAAAGTGTATTTAAATCTTAATTTTAATTATGTATACATTGAAATTTTAATTATTTATAAATTTAAATTTTAATTATGTATACATTTAAATTTTAATTATGTATAAATTTAAATTTTTATTATGTATACCAAAATTAGTATAGAAAACTAAAGAAAAATGATAAATCCTCCTAAAGGATTCCGAAAAATAAAATATTAATTTAAATTATAAAATATAAATTAAATACTTATGTTATAATAAATTTATTATAAAATAATAATATTTTAATCTTTCAAAACGTGATTGGGACATTTTTTTTTGGGAGGATGAAGCACTGCTCAACTAAAAAAGT